AGAAATAAACTGAAAATTCCACGTTAAAGTGGATCAAAGTAATACATTATTTGTTGTATGTTAAAAAAAATTATGATTCCAAACTTGAAATTCTCAAGTTAGATTAAAAAGTGAAGTAAACACACGACAGGAGCCGAGTGACCTACATTTTGCAGCACATCCCTTGTCTGGTTTTTTGGAGATAGAATGGCACATGTAAAGGAAGAAGAATTCACATGCTCTCACCTGTCCTTCAACTAAAGCAGTGAAGACAGCCTTGAAATTATGCAAGTCAGATGGGTGGAGTTCAGTAACAATGCCAGTATCTAGAAGAATAAGCTTTAATGGGCATTGGGAATGATGCACATTAACAATTAGTGTATCACATAAGTCTACAATCGTTGTCTTGTCATCGTTTTGTAGATGGAACTGATCAGCCCCCTGGATGAAAATATTTCTAGACTGAAGGTCTCCATGAATAAAGTTATCCACAAACACCTATGGGGAAAAATAATATTTCAACAGGGAGCAATGTCATGATAACACAGAAAACTAAAAGTCTTTCTCATAATCATTAATTTGCTGTACTTGAAAAAGACTCCTATCGGAGTCGAGACAATGTTCCTTCTATCAGTCGGCTCTCACCTTCATTGAAACTGTGTTTGTTTATGCCCCACACTGGGGGAGCATTTCTCGCAAATGTGCAGATGCAGTGTCAGTGCCGGTCATTGTTTAAAGTGAGAGATGCTTCTAAGTACTTTCTGTCACTTTGAAAGTCTTATAATTGTCTTCTTAATAACAAAATCAATTAATGGAAAAAATGCATCCACGTTGACAGCAACCCTTTTAATGTCTAGTCAAATAGTTATCCAAGTAGTCAATATAAGATGTCTAGTAATGACAACAAGATATTCTTTCCTCAGCAACCAATTACTGTCCTTAACTACAGAGTTTTGACATTGGTAACACTCAATAAAATAAAGTTTTTTTTAAAAGAAATCACTGATTGCAGGGCTTGAAACAATGATCCTCGCATTAAGAGACTGATAATCTACCATCTGAGCTAGCCATTTTGTGCAGGAACTAAGCTGCAGTGTTAAACTGTTCTTTTTGCATCAATAAACTGGCTTCAGAGCGAAGTGACAGGCATCCACCAAACCGCATGCACCAGAGGTTTCAGTGAGGGCTGAGTGCAAACACACAACTGTTCTTGATGTCTTTACAGTCCACAGGACCACTTAGAGTAAGTTATTGCACTGTACTCCTCTAAAGACCCTAGATCATGTCCTCCTCTAGTTTCTGATCTCTCACTGATTCTAACAGTTTTCGTTTATGATCACATAGCGACTTCTCTCTGAGCCTTACCTGGTTCACTCTGTTCATTACTTCTTTTCCCTGTTACTCTGCATCAATGTTTCCTGTGCTTTTCCTAATTTCATACATTTTCTTAGCCTATCTTGCTCAAACAGATTCTTCCCCTCCACCAATCCTTAGGTTTGCCCATCTCCTCATTCATCCACATCCTTTATCACCCCATTCCCCTACTTATGTTTATCATTCTCCTGCTTCTCTTCTCCAATTCTACTTTCACTGAATCCCTCCTATTAATCATATCCTCTCCTCTTCTTCCTTTCATATCCCCTTTTATTCACTCCCTTTTCACCTAACTCTCCAGTAATAACCCATTCGATAAGTCTGTGAGTGGCCTTGAATTCCTACATCCACTGCCCCAGGAGATTGTCCACTTTTAACATAACAAATAGTCATTGTTATTCTTGAAACACCATAAGTAAGCAACTTTGTATAATATCCTATGGCTCACCATAAGAGACATTCTAATAATGTATCAAACTGCTAAGTCTGTTTAATTTGTGTTTTTTAATCACTAGTGTGGTGGTGATAACGTGGTGGTGATAACGTGGTGGCACTGTTCTTACTTCTTCCAGCTGACTGTGCTATGACCTTTGATAAATAAGATTACAAGGGTAGATGAATCATTGAAGCAGGAGGGAAGGGAGGAATCGGTACAGAGCAAGGTAGGCAAAAAGAGAATATGGGCTAAGGGAAAGTATGGGAAGCAATGATGGGAGAGATGGAACAATAGATGAAGGAAATAATATGTTACTTTGCTTCCACTGCAACCTCAGCCTGTTACAAGTTTAAAGAAGTGTTCGGTTTGCTCCAACTAATTGTGAGCAATAAAAAAGATACAAAAATTTTATATAAAGCACACAAACACATGTATTAATAAAAAGATATTGCACTCTCTCCAACATGTGAAGCATTGAATCAAACAGACCAAAAGATATTCCAGTTTAACTTCAGCCTGTTCTGGTGAAAATGCTTCAATTGGTCTTATGGTTCCTGAACCAGGGAAAAAAGGAAAATTAATTGAGGTGATTCTTATGAGAAAACACTTGTGTGTGAATGGACAAGTGCTGGTTTTGTGATGCTACAGTTAAAAAAGCTGGCAACACTCAAAACAAAGAGCTGGAGATCTGAAACAAAGATAGAAATTGCTGGAGAAACTCAGCAGATCTGGCAGCATCTGTGGAGAGAAAAAAGTTATTTTTTGAGTTCAGTGACTCTTCATTAGAAGTGTGGTGACACTCAATGCCCAGTCTCATATACAAAAAATAGGGAAAGTACCTCACTCAGTATGAGTCAGCAATTTTAAGTCAGAGTAAAGTTTTGCCCCTGTAAGATGCTTAATGGGTTATTACTAATTGAGGCATGGATGCAGCCCTCTGTATAACTCTGTCTTCATACACTTTATTGAAATTGTCTGGCTCAATCAACAAGTATTTCTCATATTCTCCCTTTACATATTGTTGAACATCATATTAAATGTTTTATGGACCCTTTCCTTCTTGTATCATCTTCAGAGCCTATGACCATTTGCCCAGAGTTACCATCTTCAGCAGCATCTCCACCCCAACTCTTGCCAACCTCTGTTTCAGTACATTAGGTACGTCCTTTGCCAAGCACACCGAGATGGGTTCACTCTCCTAAACACAAAGAACAAAGAAAAATTAGAGTTTCACTATCCCTTATGATTGCATACAGCAGCATTTAATTCAATGAGTGTTCTGAGTTTCCTGTCCATTCTCTAAAATATCAGTTTATAGGTCAAACAGTATGAGATATTGAGCCAATGCTATTACTACTACACAAAGCTTATGCATTCCCAGGGTAAATAAATGGTGTGAAATACAAAATAAGATGCTGTAGTAACCATGCTATGAGGCAACATATAAATATACAGCACACATCTGTTTTATACCGCAGAACTTAGAGGAGAAATACTCCCACAAATTTATAGTACAGCTACTTATACATTGGACAATGCACAAGATGACAAGACAGTAAGAACTAGAAAATGTTACTGACCTCATCTGGTTTATCCTTTTATTTAGGGGAGGCATTGCCCGTCTTTGTCTTCTGGGCAGCAACAGCTCCCTTTTTCCCAAAGGGGAACTGCTGCCCCAGAATCATTTTCCAACTACACATGAAAAGCCAACAGGCTTGCAATACTCAAAATGATACTTTAAACTTATTTTTAAAAAGGAATCAAAACATATTGGTATAAATCTTAATCTTTACTGCACAGATGGCCATCTGAGAATACCCCCACCCTAACATTCATTACAAGCACCTTGAAACTTAATTTGACTGAAACCAATGAAATGATAATCATGGTGAGGTGGGATCAAGAAGTGTTCTATAACAACAAGCTTTCCTCTCCTCCAGGTTACCATCCACACAGTAAAGATGGTGAAAGCTTACCATACACCACACTTCCAGAACGATACTGTGTGTTCGATGAGTTTTTTGATAGTTCCTTCACCGATTCTAAATACTACCTCACACTCCTTCTACTGCCTCAGGTGCATTCCATTTATGCATTTGACAGTATTTATCTTAATTTCTCCAGTTTCTTATATGCCTGTGTGTCCATGAACACAAATACATCCACCTTCATATCACTTAGTTGTCTAGAAATAATAGGAACATGGTCCATTCTAAATGCTTCAGAGATAGTAGGAACTGCAGATGCTGGAGAATCTGAGATAACAAGGTGTAGAGCTGGATGAACAAGCAGGCCAAGCAGCATCAGAGGAGCAGGAAAGCTGACGTTCCGACCTCTGAAGAAGGGTCTAAGCCCGAAACGTCAGCTTTCCTGCTCCTCTGATGCTGCTTGGCCTGCTGTG